CCCCCCCCTCCCCCACGTATCCTAAGCTCACCCACCCGGAATCCTATAAACACGAAAAGTTACACCATCACGCCAACGTCATTTGTGAGTACCGTTTATAACTTCTGGGAAAACAGTGTCAGCCAAACAAATCCTCATTTTGTCCTCTGAAATTGACGCAAGCATTTATCATCTATGCAGTTCCTCCTAGGCCCTATATCCTTTAAATATTTAACAGTTTCCATGTAATTGTACGTAATTGTGGTTAAAACATATGAATAGAAGTAAGTCTTCAAAAAGTTATCAAATATTCGGTTTCTGTAGCTGTATGGCGTAGGTTATCGCCAAGCAAATAATTGCGAAGAACGTAATCCCAAAAGTTTCAATTTCGGGTAAATTGTTGAAAGTTGATGGTACCAATCAGCCCATTGAGTTGAATATGTTGAACATACTGTCGAAAGCATTCTTTTTAAAGTCGGCAAGTACATGCATACGTCTAGTCAACGATGATATGTAACAACCATACAAGCCTGCACTTAAGAGGTGAAAGTATCGAAAAGAGTTAAGGTTAAGTAGCTTAATCCTAAGGGCTGCGATCTTCCAGGCTGAGTCCCTAAGAAGATGAGAGAAGTCATGTGAAGGCAAGAGTGATAGGAAGAGTGTATTCTGTACAGAGGGGTTGAGGAAAAGGTAGTAGGAGATTTGACTGTTGGAGCGCTCATCCTTGCGCGAGGGCGGCATGGCCTGAAATAATGTCTGGGGGCAGACACCGCATTGCGGTCTGTGTTCAGACGTATTGAGACTAACCTACTAATGAGGCTAGTTTACTAACGCGGGAATCTCACTGGACGGACTGAGGTCAAGGCACCGTGGATTGAGGTCAGGACGGGTAAGCAAGGTGCGCACGTTTGCGCCTGCTCTCAGGGGCACGACATCAGCAGCAGTGGTACGTGATGTGTCAATGTGTGGCGGACATTCACGTGCGGCTGGTCATGAGTTCCAAGTAGCGCTAGCAGCCCCTATAGGAGTGCTAATTTCAGTCGTGCTGAGGTTTAATTTGTCTCATAAGTTACTGGTCCCTTTATCTGGAAAGTGAATTATCATAATAAGCACATTAACTGAGTTGTACTGCAATTTTTCAAGATGTTTAAAACTAATTCAACTGCACTATCGTTATAAAAAAAAAGTATCCAGCTACCCTTTTAAGGTCACTTCGCGTAAATCATACAATAAGGAGGAAATGTCACCAGTGAAACTTGCGTCCTGAAAACCTCTCGCGGGCAGCCGCATAACGACTAGTGGTATATGTAAATTGATTAAGTCTGCGCTCCTCAACCATATATACATTAACCTGTTTACAGCCCATCGGATAACGAGCCATTGCTCAGTGGTTAGATCGTTGATCGTAACGATCAATGCTCACATATCCTCGACTGGGACCTCAGGTATCCCCGAGACCTAGGGATA